TAAGGCAGAATAAAATATATATACTACTAAAATTTTGCAAGGAATATTTTATTAAGGCACGAAAGGCGGTTTCATAAGTAAAATTACAGGTTACCGACGATTTTTGAAAACCTTAGATCTTTTTTCATGTTACAATTTAATTGATTCAAAAAGTTGCGTAATATATTTTTTGTTCAATCAGTGATAATATTTCATATATCCAATCAGAAGTTGGGGGAGAAATTAGGTTTTCCGAACAAGTGTAGACTATTTTATAAAATGTATGTATGTCGTGCCTCAGATTAGAATAGGCGTAGGTTTAAAATTGAGTTATGTAAAAATTAAAATTTGATTATGACTAGTTTTATCATTTATGCGTCATAATGAAATACAAATAAATGTCACTAATAAAATAGAAATTGGTTCTCTCAAAATTTCTTGACTTTCTTCACATAACATTTATGTAAAATTTTGGTAGTTATTTTGGTAATTTTGTTATAATATAATTTATTGTTATATATTTTTAATTCTTTAGAGTAAATTCTTCACAACATTTTTATATACCTCAACCACTGTAAGATTAATGAACAAAAAAATAATAGATACCAAGTATTACGAAGAATTGTAGAGACCTATACAGCACAAATTATAAGTACAAATTGACCTATATGCCCATGCAATATTTTAAATAAGTTGAACTACAATCAACCATTTAAATACTGTGCAGGTGGATTGGGACCATTAGATATAATAGAATGTTAAGAATTAGAACATATTTCAATAAATAATATATTTGCTAAAGAAGCTGCACAGAATCAAAATAATGTTAATAAATGTCGTAATATCGTTGCAAAAAAATTGGATTTGAATGTGAAAGTAAATGGTATAATGGAAAAATGTATAATAATAACGTATAGAATTATAGGGTAGTGAATTATTTTTCACCGCATTATAACTTTAAATTATTGATTTTTAATTTGACGCATAATAAGATTCTTTCATCACCCATTCGAATTTTACGTACAACATATATATCCCTATATTTGCTTTCATTAACCTCTTTATCTTGATAATACAAATTTATCCGATAGCTTACTATGATTGATAACTCGAGTTATTTTGATGGTAATTACGTTTCGCCAAATAACTTCGTTATTTGATGATAACGTAATTACCATCAAAACAACTCGAGTCATTCCGATGGTCCAACTAGTGTCGCCCAAAAAATTAGTTACGTACCGGAATTTAAAATTTACCATATATATATTCAATAAAAGCAATATGATTGTCGCTAAAAGAACCCCGAAAATTTAAATGACTTATATTTAAATTTTCAGGTTTTTTTTAGCGACACTCATACAAATTACATTTTAATTTATTTTCGCTATATATGCACATTCTTTTTTTATTAACGTTTATTAATTACAATATAATAAAAATAAAAATTTTCGAAAAAAGCGTTAAAACTATTGTCAATAAAAATATTCTCCTATATATAAATGTTTAATTTTCTTAATAAATAATTATTTTGACAATTAGTCTGCTGAAATCAGTTTTCTATAGTTAACGAAATTATTATTGAGATTATTTGAATTATTAAATAAAATACATTAATGTAAAAACTATGACAACGGCAAAATTTTTTACAAAAATAATTTAGACATCCATGTATATCATTGTACTGTCCTTCTTGAAATTTTTTCTTTAATAGGTCAATCGCGTTTAACTATTTTCTTCGTTCCAAATTTTCAATAAACTTTATAAATTATTTTTATTAATATGTAAAAAATATAGCCAACTCTTTCTATAACGAACTGACAGTTCTAAAAGAAATAAAAGTTCGTCATAGAAAATTACAATGTTTTTTTAAGCACCTATTGCACTTCTATATCGAACTACTGTATTATGAAATTTTAAAATTCTAAGCTAGTGTTATGGGTAAATCCAGCCCTAGGATAAACGTTGTGAGTCGTGAAATGTGATCCCATAAGCACGTGGAAGTGGGTGATCAATGTGGCGCAGTAACAATTAGCGGCTATGTCGATCACCAACCTAATAGTCGTTTAGGACTATTAACGGGTATAAGGATTATAGTGGTAATACGGGTTTTAAGAGAAAGTAATAATTAAAGGGATATATGATAATTGAGGGCTTTAAGTAATATAGGACACTAAAGGGATATACGTTAGATAATATGTTTAATATGTTTAAGAGCTGTAGGAGCGCATATGTAATAAAACAATATATAATAAAGGCTTTGAGCCTACATGATGGGAAGTTAGTGCTTGCAATAAAATTTGACCTAATACTTTCCTGCTTTCGCTACAATATAATATCTATGATCATAAACACACCACTCTCCAAATCTAACCGCCTCTTATCGACTAAGCCGTTCGTAGGTTACACGACATATCCGTTTGAGAACGATAAGCACCATGAAAACTGTCGTATCACGATGCCTTTAAGTGACAGCGCCGATCTCATTGAAGAAAAGCCACCCGCCCGATTTGGAATACATCTGTCAAGGTAATATTACCTTGACAGGTAAAGTCTGTGGCCATGTCAATGCATCGTTATATGTTGGGTTGTGTGTCGTTGTGGGAGGATTGAAAATTTAATGAAAAATTCTAAAGTAACGACGGATGGGTTGTAGGGAAAAGGGAAAAATGTAAGCAAATAAGGGTAAAACGGCATATGACAATGAGGAAAGGGTGCCCAAGCCGTGTTCGAACCTCCCTTCTTTTTTCCCTTGTAAATCCCCCCTCTTGTATCGTATCATATTATAGACCCGCCCTAAAATAAATAAAACAAAGCTTATAATTAATAAAAATTCTAAATTTTTTTTAAAAAAATAAATAAAACCATACGTTCCTTAACCCGTTTTACAATAACATCCGAATTCCCTTGTAACGCTCTCAAAAGCGCCTTTGACCACCTGCTTTTGAGTGACGTTACACGACGTCAACGTTTCCGAAGCGACAATTCGTCGCACTCCTTCTTGTCATACATAGAGGTTCATAATATCCAAAATCGACTGTATAAATAGCTTGTATAATAATAAATAAAATAAATAAATAGTACCTTCACTGGTATTTCTTTTAATTCAATAGCTTTATCATTTGCAACTTTAGCGTCACTAGCACTTGAATAATATTTGTTCATACTTAAATCCATCTCGGCTTCCTTATATGTAACAATATTTCACTTCGGGATTAGATAATGCGGCGGGTATATAGTTTGTCGGGGTTCATGAAGAAATGGATGTTTATTATTGCGTTGAATTTTATTAACATATTGAAAAAAGAGTTGTCCAGACCTTTAAGAAATATACAAACATCAATAACACTTGTTTAAAATCAAATTAAGTAACCGTTTTTTTTATAAAAAAGTTTCCGATTTCTGCTTCAAAATCAATTGTCCATTTTGAACCATCAGAACTATAAGCTTGATGAGTTTTAAACCGTAACTGATTTTTATTGGATAATACCGTATTGAATGCTACGCACCAATAACTTACTTATCTGGCTTTAAATTTAACGTACCATTTCTGGGCCCAGAAACTGGCACATTAAATTTAAAACCAGATAATGGAAATAACTCCCGTTATTTGTTGAAGTTTCTTAAAAAATTAAACTTATTGTGAATATTAATTATCATTTCATGTACAAATTTAAGAATTCAAATGCGTAATATTTATATATTTTTGTGCATTAGCAGAATATATTATTAGAGTTTTTCGTCCAAAAGTTTGTATTAGATACGTTTCTGTAAGTTACTCTTTATTTACTACAATCCTTTTTGTTTACCAGAGATAATTATTTCCCTCAGATTATGTAGGATGACGTGAAACTATTTAATAATATCTTTGTTGTAAGTGGAAACAGAATTTAAGTGGATTTGGAATTTTCTAGTTAAACTAGGGTTAGGATAAGGGTGTTCATATGACAAAATCAACCCCAAAATGCTGGTTTTATATAAAAATTCCGAACCCACTTAAATTCCGTTTTTACTTACAACATCTTTACTCATTACAGTGACCTGAATTGGCAAAAATTTCTAGTCAACTATAATGTTTTTATTAGTTTTATTGTCACAAGATTTATTTGCCTTTGATCAATTGGATAATAAAATTTTTCTAAAATTTGTGATATTCAATGATGAATTACTTCGAAAATTTTAAATCGATTAGTTGCCAACCTTTCAATTAATTCATATAACTAATTCCAAATAAGTTAAAATATTATTGTAGTAAACAAGAAATCATTTCTCAATTCTAAAATTTAAAGATACATTATAATACAGTTTTTACAACAAAAAAAAATTTTTTTTGGAAATGAAAGTAGTACGTATATCCATTTTCCAAAATTAATTATTTATTCTTTCATTTGTTCTTTTGAAAGCTTTAATAAATCACGCAATTAATATTTTTTTATGCTACAGAATAATAATTTTCGAGTGATTAATTTTACTATTGTTATCGGTTTTATACAAGCGCCGATTCGCAGCTAATTTAGTAATTTAGTTAATTTTTACATAAGTCAGATACAAAGAACAATAAATCTAATTAGTTAAGATATTTTATAATTAACATGCGAGATAATGGGCATGGTCGTTATTTCGAAAATTATACCACCAAAAATAACATACGCATCTCGAAATAACATGCATTTCAATCAGCAAATTTATATCACAAGAACGCTAATCGTAATGATTTATAGCCTAAAATCAGAAAATTGGTTTTTTAGGGGTTCGAAATAAAGAAATGTACGTTATCACGCGATTATACGGAATAAAACTCTTAGTCAATTAAAAGCAGCAACAAATGAAATTTGAATTTTATTCACTAAGCAAATTGATTACAAGGCAATAACTATTCAATTAAAAAACAATGAATAAATACGAAATAGTTTAAAGAAAGTAATGTTAAGCAAACATAAAATTAATCAATAAAAAGATTTGGTCCAATTAATTAAACGAAATAAATCATCAAATCAAATTATCATAAAATTGAAGACCGTTAATCAAATGAAAAATAACTTTGACCCAACTATTAAACGAAATAAATCATCAAATCTAATCACCATAAAATTTCAGTAAAAAAAAAAAATATTGACTATTAATCAATAAAAAAAAAAAAAACTTTGACTATTAATCAATAAAAAAAAAAAAACTTCAACTTGATCCAACTATTAAACGAAACAAATCAACATCAAATCTAATCATTATAAAATTGAGGACTAATACTTTTAGCCCAATTAATAGCTTCTTTACAATAATTACCCCATAATTCCACAATTTTGAGCATTGGAAAATCAGCATTGATTAAAACTTTAGCTTTATCGGTAGTCAATCCAGTACACAATAAAATTTTCAATTCAACCAGACTTTTACATTGAGCGATTTCTTGAATAAGATTATTATTCTTCTTAAAATTACAATGACGAATCACAATTGTAGTTAAAGAATGAATATGATTGGCGATTGACGGTAACTTCTCTTCTTGTTGTTCTTCTCGATAGTTTACTTTAAGCTTAAATGTACGAAGATCTTTAAATTTAGAAAGAACTTTTGTAATAGTTTTTGCATCGGAATCGCTAATACATTTTAATCGAAATTTCAGATGTTTCTATAAAAATTATGAAATCATTAATTAATTCAATAATAAGATCAATAAATTATGTATATAATTATATGTAATAAGTAATTATTATATAATATATATGAAAAATATTTTATACGTACCACATTAGGACAAATATCAGGAATCCATGAGAATACTTTATATAATGAACTGTAATCAATACAAAAGCTTATCTTCTTGATAGGTTCCAAGAAATCACCATCCATAACATGACCAAATTGGTTATAATCTCTTGCATCAAGTATGTGTCCAAAACCGAAATGATCAGCGATAGTAAAATAATTCAAACGATTAGATCGATTATAAATAAGATTCAATAAATGAGTACGAAGAACGCCTTCCAATGGTGGATTATCATTGAAATAAAATAATTGAGTTTTTGAATCAGGTGAAGTATAAATCACATTAATTTCTTCAAGATTTCCCAATTTTCTTGCCGCTTCTTTAATAGAACTGTCAATCATCCAGTAATTAAAATGTTTTAAAAATTTAACATAATCAAAAATTGGTGTTTTGAAGAGTGATTTTTTATCCGCAGGAATTTGTGATAAAAACTTTTGTTTTGCGTTCTTTTCAAGGCAACCCAAGTAAATAAAAATAACTTCTGGAAACTTGTCTTTATAATTGGAGGCGTATCGGAAAGGATCAGACCAAAGTACTGGAACGACAGCTCGACACCATAATCTGTTAACTTTAAGACAAGCTAGTAAAGACTTTCGCTCTTTTGAAAGATATTCAATAATCAAAGGTAAGATATGACAGTGCATGATTAGTGTATCTGAAAGATAATATGTGTATCTGGATAGTGGATAAAGACGAAAAATTAAAAAAGTTTGATTTTTGTAAACGTCTTTTTATATCAATATTAAACAATGAAACAAAAACACGTGGATTGACCAATCAAATTTTTTAATCGCGATTCAGATCTAGACAACGCTAGTATTTTCGTGTAATAGCCAATCAGAGTATCCCGGATCAGCCCGATCGTACCAGGCTTTAATTCCGTCAATTATGCCATGAAAACGAATCGTTAAAGGTTGTTATCAGTGTTGGGCTGACCAGACCAATTCGACCATTTGACCGGACCAGTTTGACCAATGACCAGTCTGGTCAAGCATCTTTGACATTGGTCAAGTTGGTCAAGTGGTCTAGTTATAAGAAAAAATTGTCCAATTTGATTGTCATATTGCTAGACCATTTGACCAATTTGATCAGAAACCCTTCGACCAATGACCAGAAAATTTATAGTCGACCACTAATTTGACCAACAAGATTGTTACATATATATTCTAAATCTACACTTCACACTCTATTACATATCAAATTAATTCGAGGAAAAGCTAATTAATTCAGAAGTTAGCGGTGGGGTGCACTTTTGTCTTATAGGTCAAGGTAATTTAGTAATTAGAGCATTTTAGTTAATAAATTTTAAGTTTTTTTTTGATTAATAACGATTCAAATAATAATACTTATAATTAGCTTTTCTACCTTTTTTTCGAATATAGGTTTATTCGACTAAGTTTTTTTTATTAAACGTAGAACATGTACGATTACACACTTTGTTCCGTAGTTAGTGTTTAATTTTTTATGCTGTCCATACTCTTCACGAGCATGTATTGCATTTATTGATATTTGACGATTTTTTTCAATTAATTTGTTATTCATTATTTATCTTGACTTGTTATTAAACCATGTAATAAAGATTATTAATATAGATTACATTATTAAGAGATTATTAAACTTAAAAATATTACATGTTTTATTAAATTTAACCAGATACACATTTGACAACGACTGTCAGAATCAACGAATTAAAAACTATTATAATAAATTAAATAAATGTGTCTTTTTTAATAACTTATACATTAGAGCAATAAAACTGGTATATATATTTTTTTATAAAACTATCTTATTTAATAGTTTCCAATACTAACTTTTGTATACTAAAATTTCTTGTTATATTGTTTCTAATTTTAATCTTGTTTTAATATTTAAAGATATAACAGTGTATTTTGATTAATGTAAAGTAATGCAATATTTTAATTAACATTAAATAAATATTGTAAAAGCTTGCTAGTTATTAAATTTATACATCATTTTTAATTCAGACTTTAGCAACTTTAATTTTAGTAAAAATTATTAGTATATATTATATTAAATTTCTGATATTTTAAACTGAATAGTTAATTTCATTATTAAAGTCTTTAACTTACATATAAGCAAGTTATAAATTTAAATTGGTCAATCAGTTTTATAAGAAATTATAAAAAAGACATTGCAAGATACTATAAAGTTATTATTGTAATTGTATATGTTTGTTAAATTCTTTTTAATATTAATTTCAATTTGATAACAATCTCTCTTACTCTTTCTCCTCTTTCTCATATTATTACAGCATAAATAAAACACACATTTAGAATAATATTTATATTTAGCTTAATACTATTGAACTATTTTAATATTTGGATCAATGGATGTTATAGCAAAATCAATATTATTACTATAAATATTTAAGGACATTAAGATAGTGTTCTTGAAAAATGTACCAGTTAATGCTTTTCTGACGCCTAATCTAAGATATTTCTGACATAAATCTAAAGACGTTAAGATGTAGTTCTTGTAAAGTGTCTTTATTAACTTGTTTATTTTTTCTATCCAAGACAATTCCAAGAAAGATTCCACATTGAAGCATTTTTTTGATTTTTGAAATTATGCTACTGTTCTTGAAAATTTGTTTATAAAATTCTAATGTTTTGAATAATTTATAAAATTATACTTGAAGTATCTGCAATCTAAAATATTACCAAAAAATCAAGCAAATAATCCAGCTGTGCTTCTTATTTCGGCTCTATTGAATGAATGCTGAAACAAAATTATTTGTAAGACTTTATTTTTAAGTAAAATTTTGGAAATGAAATGGAATATTCTGTAACAATCTTGAGTCATTAATGTCTTTAATGACATTTGAAGACTCCTTTAATTGCAGCTTTACTAGTATTTACGACAATTTGCCTTGATCAAACATTCTTTGGTTTCTATTCTCATATCCTCAATATTACCTTCTTGGATCGAAATATTATATCAAGCAAATAAATGTCCCAACGTCCCAAAGTATCCCAACTATTTCCCAAGTTCTAATAATTAATAAATTGATTTAAAAAATATATAATTATATATTTTTTTAGGTACTGAACATGAAATTAAAATTGATTATCTTAATAAAATTTAAGTAATTTCAAATTTATAAAATTTGTCTCAAAATATCTCGAAACGTCCCAAATTATTCCTAACTGCAACACTGGGGACGAAGTTGAAACTTGAAGAGGAACTATTGATATTTTTAGGATGAAGTTTCACAAAGTTTCATCAGAAATAGGTTTTTTAAAAGTATCAAGAATTTCTTTTGTTTCTGGACGATTGGCAGGATTGCTATTCCAACACTGTTTGTAAAGTTCAATACATACAGTGGTGTTCCTTTTTATCGGGTCTTCTCTATTTTCTTGACATATGTGAAAACAGTGAGCCATTTTTGATTCAAAGGTTTGAAACGGTGGTCTTCCACTTGAAATTTACCAAAGAACTACTTCAAAACTATAGATGTCAGATTTCACATTGCGTTTATAATTGGGATTGATAAAGAATTTGGTTCAACATATTCTGGAATTCCATGTAAGAATGAATTTAAGGTTTTAGAATTTTCATTTATCTGCTTTGAAAGTCCAAAATCTGGTTGTTTTGATGAATTAAGACATCTTTTGAATGCTACAAAATATGTTAGAGCATTAGTGATTGTAAATAAAATCATGAGTATATAAAAATAATATACTTACAAGATCTCTATGAATAATATTGTTATATTGTAAGAACAAAATACAACGTACTATTTCCTTAAAAATATGTAATATATCTTTCCTTTGTAGTTATGCGAAATTCTTTTTTAGATATTTTCGCAAATTTCCGTCATTAGCGTATTGCAAAACCATATTATAATAGCCATAACTATTTATTCATTTTATAATCAATGTCAGAATAAAATAAATATTTATCATCCAGCATTTAGAAATGTTAAGCTATCTATATACCTTTCGTGACCCCATAAAACTTAATAATATTTGTGATGGCAATCAACTTTTCGTAAAATTTTAAGCTATAATTTCAGATTACAGTTAAACTATAATATTATACCAAGAGAAATGCAAATTTTAATTTAATTACCTCGCTAATAAATCTTTACCAAGTTTTTCATCTAACTCTGTTCGATATTGATTTTAAGACATTTAAGAGCAACCGTTAAACCAATATTTTTCCATTCGTATTTGAAAACCTCTCCAAAGCCTCCGGTACTGATTATTTTGCGCTCGGTAAATTTGTTGTATTCAAGTTTATTAAGATGTCCCTCAGAAATAGTATTTTCAAGCCATTCTTCTGATGTATTTGCCATGATTTTTGAATGCCGAAAAATATGTCAAGCATGTATAATAAATTAATATTTTATTAAAGGAATCGTTGTATTGCAAAAGTTCCTACTATTGCTAGCTGGTATTTTATATAAGAAATTCCCAAATAGTTTACCTCTATTCAAAGATTTCTTAAAATTTTGTATATTAATATTGGATCAAATTTAAATTTGCAGTTTAAATAATCTTAAAATCATGTTTTTCGTTCATATGTATACCGCAAATTTAATTAGGCAATTAGTAATATTTTTACAATTATTAGTCACTACGATTCTGATCGATAGACTTGTTGCTAATCGATTGTTACTCATGTCGCTGATAGTCAGCAGGGGTGCTGCCACTTTTAGATGTTGATCGATTGCCGACGATTTTATATTAGAAGGTTTGATAGACTTGTTGCTAATCAATTGTTACTCATGTTGCTGCTAGTCAGCAGAAGTGCTGCCACTCTTTTAGATGTCAATCGATTACCGACAATTTTATACCGGGCCTAATCACTAGATTAAAGATTAAGAACTTAAATAAAAAACAAAATCAAATATAAAAAGCTTCGAATTGAATCTAATATGGATTTTTTTTTTAATTGAAAAAATCTTTATTAACAATATAAAATATTATTTATATTTTACATTATTGATATTTAAAGAAAAGCACCAAATTTGGTTTTCTTTATACAACATTTCAATATCATTTGGAAAACTAAGTATTCTCGGACTAATAAACCGGTCCAGCTATATAGATTAAAAAAAAATTAAAATAAAACCATAATAATAAAAAAATTAACAACCAACCTCAAAATCCAAGTTATAGTCTATCGACATAAGATTATTTTCGTCTTTCTCTTCTAACTTTTTGTTTTTTTTTGCCAGCTCATTTGATAAATTTAGATTATCAATCTCAAGCTCCTCTATTCTCAAATCCATATCTTCCACTTGATTTATAAGGATCATGTTTTCTTCTTTCAACTCTTCGATCTTTGTATTTTTCTCATCGACCTCGTCTGTCAGCATTGTATTCTTGCTCTTTAACTCTTTGATTACTGAGTCTTTCCCATTAATTTCTCTATTCGATTTCATAATTTCCCCCTTTAACTCTTTAATTATCATGTCTTTACTGTCAATTATTTTATCTGATCTCATTATCTTTCTCTCAAGCCTAAGCAGAAAAAAAAAATAGCAACAAAATTAGTACATGGGTACAAATGTAATAGAAACAAAAATATTGTAACAATAAAAATAATAAACACACTTAAAATCACTACCTTTTTATCTCTAAAATAAATTTTTTCTGTCCTTTATCAAATTCCTCCTTCAGTTTTTTGTAATCTTCGTGATTTGCGTTTGCTAGTTTAAGGTACCTTTCCGTTCTTTGCGATTCGTCATCGAGATTTTCATAATATATATGAGGTGAATTTTTTGGTGCCCTTTTTTTAAGTCGATCAAGGAATTTGATATGTTCCTTTAATATATATACTATGAATTCTTGTTGTGTACGATGCTTTTGAGTCATTTTTATAGTTTCTATATCATGCGAAAACTAAAAAAGACGAAAAGTAATGAATAATATTAGCCAACAGTCGTAATGTTATCACCCAAAACTAGTATCAGTCAACGGTCATATCTAAAGTACTTGTTTTTTTTTACTTTCCTATGTTGTGTTTCGTTATCGAACAAGGCGCTTTTTTTTTTGGTATCAGTCCAGTCAACAAATTTATATATATAAAACAATAATATATTAACTAATATAAGCTTTAAAATTGTTACGTACGTATAATTACGTAATTACAAATTTATATATTATTATGTAAATCAAATATATTAATTAATATATATAGCATTATATATGCAAATCAAATAATCAATTAATATATCAATTAAAACTTACGTCACTTAAATATAGAACAAAGTGCAAATTGATTCGTAATTATGATGTAATAAGTTTATATCGATATCATATACTTTTTTAGTAAACCAAAAAAAGTCGCAGGTGATTTTTTTGGTAACTTGACGTGTCATACATATGAAAAAATACCTCACCTGATAAGCCGCATGCCAGACAGGTTGGTGATGTAATGTCGCTGCACAAAGCAATCTGTTTAATTAGTAAGATTTGATGGCCCATGTTGGACTGTGTACCAGGACCATAAATAACTTTGGTAATTATACCATGAATCTTTCTCATGTCTTTAATGTATACATGTTCTATTCTGTGTATCACTGATATCAACTCGTGCTGCATCCCTATAAATAGTACTCTAGCTATGAATGTTGTAGTCTGCACAGCAAAAATAAATTAGCCAATCAGAGAATGTAAATAAGATTATCGAATCCATACAACACATTTGCAAAGTGAAGAAATATGAATGTATTAAGCGTAAGGCGTACCGAAAATGTATGTACAAGGTTGAGAATCGGATGTCTACTCCGGAATTCAAAAAATTTTAATATTTTGTTGATACTTGTAATATGTTCACTTGAATTACTTATTAATACTTATAACTTTAATTAAAATCTGTAGCAGGTTATGCTGATCTTTATTGATTGTAGCTAATAATTACGAGATCATTTGTAACTTAAAAACATCGAGTTGGATAAGTTCCAGTCTGAACATATAGGATAACTTTCTCGTGATTGGCGATTTATATACAGTTTAGAGTACTTTTGCTTATTAATATAGTAAATTATTTTTACAAAATATAATTGTCATTTATAATACTATAAAAGATTTTCACAAACAAAGTTTTAAATATTTATATATTTATGAAATTATTTTACTATGATATGTTTTATTTAAAAACAGTTTGTAAATTAAAAAAATAATAATGTACAATAAATATAAAACATTATTAGTTTTATTATAGTATTTTGATATTTTTATTATAATTATATAAAAATTCTTATTTTAATATTTAATATACATATTATATATAATAAATTAAAATAAAAAAATAAAAATTATCAATTATATTTGTATCAGTGTTATAAGATACAAAATTAGGATGTTAAAAAGTTTAAATAAAACATGTACAAGTAGAAGTTAAATAGCATTTAGCAAATAATCTTAAAGCAATATTTTTAAATAAATAATAACTAAAAGTTGTACATATTGTTAGCTATATTTTTACTAGTTAAAAATATATTTTAAGTTAATATTAACAAATAAAATTAATAATTTGTTTAAGCAATTGATTATTTGTTAAAAAAAATAAAATAAAAATAAATTATATTTATATTTATTTTTATTTTTTTTAAGATAATCTTTTTGGTCTTTTAACTTTATTAATAACTTTTTTGGTAATGTGATTTTTGTAAACCATTACAGGAATAGTGTACAATTGGCTATATGTATAACTTTTCTATATTACCTATTTAAGGTGTCTGCTCAAAGGTTTCTTACTAATTACTGTATTTAACATTCTTGTTTAAATGTTCCATTTTAAACCCTCTAAACCTGTACTTGTATTAATATTATTGAGTTATGTCCAGGTTATTGTCTCAACCTTAGAACTATTTTATTCTTGAAATAAACCTCTCAGAGTCTTCTGTAACTATTTTTATAACTGATCTAGAAATTACTATGATAGAATCAACACTTATAGTCAGAGTTATATCATTTAAATATTATGTTCTTATAGAATTTACTTGAATTTTAGCATCTATTTTATAACATATTTCTAGTGTTTAAATATATTCCTATTTTTTCTTCAAATTCTTAATACAAATAGTCTATATAAAATTATAACTAGTCTATCAATATATTGAGTTAGTTTAATATCCTTTTGTTCTAGTTTGTTTTAGCAGTTTGGTTGATAGTATATCTGAGACTTTTAATCTGAAGATTTTTAATTGTTTAGATATTATGATCTTAGTATCTATTTTCAATAGTTTAATTATTACAGTAATGCAGTCAAAGATTATATTATTTCTTTACTTAGGTTTTTCAAATAAACTTTTTGTTTCAAAATTTTAATAAATTTATATAGTTATAAGAACTTATTTAGAATTTGTACCATCTAATACTGGTTTGCATTCCTTTGTCTAAATTATTATACAAATATTTTATAACTTGTCAGCATGCTAATATAACTGCTATTATAGGTATCTTAATTCAATTATTAGAAACAGTTGTCATAATATGAATATTATATAGATGATTAACTATTAATTGAATTTGAATACCCAACTTACTACTTAGAGGGTTAACAACTTATCCACTTTACTAAGTTGTCATATCCTATAAATTATATTTTAATATTTAATATTAATTATATATATATTTAAATTAATAAGAATGCAAATTATTAACTCTTTTTAATAATCATTTATACCAAATTTTGCTATAAACAATTGATTATTATTCAATATTTTATTAAGTAAACTACCTTTGGATACTTAAATAAAGTTGTTTCTAGTATAATTTTACATTTAGACAACCCAATAATATATCTCTAAACCTCTTATTTAATAAGATATTTTTATTAAATATAAAATAGTTCTATTTAAATTATCTTAAAATTATATTAATTAAATAACTTTTATATCTTAGAACAAAAAGAAAGAGATTATTTATAGCTTCATTTTGATATATAATTATTAAATAAGATCTAAAACTGAATAATCTATTGACAAAATATATTTAAACTCTTACAAATTTTTTTTTATTTTTTTTATTTTTTTTTTGGAGGCTATCTCTGTTTGCCTTATTCAAACCTGCTCAAAATAGGATTACTAAGCAATATTATATAATTTTTAATTACAAATTTGTATTCTTACAATTTTATACAACTTTTTTATTTAATATAATTCTTGACTTACAAATAGATCAGTAAAGTGTTATGTACTCTTTGTGATATGCTTTTATTTGACACCTCCTGTGTTTATCATATCCTTCTAATTGTCATGCATCTTTATTTATCATATTTTATTTTTTACACCTCTTATTTGTCATATTCTATATCATTAAAATCTTTTTAGACTCAAAAATCTTATTATCAAATTTGTTCTTATTTTTAAAGTAACTATGTCTATATTAAATTTTTTTTTTTTAAATATTAAGATAAGTACTTGTAACTTAAAATTTTATTAATAGTATATTTGGCTAATGGTTATATTACAATTATAGAGGCAATTATGAACAGAATGTACAACTAGCCATTTGTACAACTTTAGTCATTGTCTAATTTAAGTAGTCTGCCAAAAGGTTCTATACTAATTGCTATATTTAAAACTTGTTTGTAGGTTTTCTATTTAACCACTCTAGTTTCTATATTCACGCATCTACTTTTATCTATCAACAACTCTGATTAATACAAATAAAAATATGCCATGGCTACTAAGTCTTTAAAACAATTCTTTAGAATCTTTGATCTTGTACTAAACCTTTCAGAATCTTCTGTATCTTATTTTTACAGCTAACTCAGTATTGTTATAGCTAAGACCAATATTGATAATCAGAATTTATCATTAAACTGCTATGCCCTTGTAGAGTTTACTCAACCCTGGTACTGACTTCATAACATATTCTTACTACTTTAATATTTAATTTAAGTTCTACAAAGCTACCATTCTTGATAACCCAAAAAGATAGATTGTAACTATATACTTCTAGTTTATATGTTTGCTAACATGTACTCTTTTTTTCAAAATCTGGAAATTCTGATGGCCTAGTTGGTTCATCTAATTTCTTCTCAAAAATCAGTACATTTGCCTATTTTTACAAGTTCTAGATCTGTTTCATAAGTCTAGTTTTTACAGTAATACTGTCAAAAGTTTAGGTTATTTTTCTACTTAGATCTTCCAAGTAGACTTCTGTCTTCCTACTTGGTTCTTGTAATTTACATGGTCTAAGGACTTATCTTGAGTTTACACTACCTAGTACCAGTTTGTTTTCCTTTGTACAATATTGTACAAGTGCCTAGATCTTTCAGTTATGCTGGTATGATATTGATTACAGGTATCTAATCCTAACCAATCCCAGAAGACAGTTATCTGTAACATAGAAAGAATTGCAAATTTTCATTATCACTGGAATTTGAACTTTAAACCTGTCACTTAAAGGTTGACAACCTATTTATTTTACTAGATCATCACATTTCAGATGTCTATAATAATTAACCAAGATCCTAACCAATATGACTTAGATTATATTTTAGCTAAATATAGTAACTGTTTTGATGTTATAACTAAAAAAAATAACTTAATAATATATTAATATATATATTAATATGTGAGAAATTCATCTGTATATACCAATTAAACATTACGTCACTTAAATAAGACTGGTTTATAGAACAAATCCATAATAAGTTTTACGTCGATATCATATACTTTTTTGGAAAACCAAAAAATTTGCAGGTGATTTTTTTGGTAACTTGACGTGTTGTAGGTAGTAATATGCCATTTATATGATAGCCCAATTTTTTTCGCGTATAGTACATATAGTATAGTATATTTAATGAAGTCACTATTTCAATAAGTCACGTGACCTCCTCGCTTCGAAGCAGCCAATTAAATTGCAGGTAATTTTATATGTGATTTTATTGGCTGATTCGAAGCACGTAGGTCACGTGAGCTTCATGAAATGGCCAAATCTCCTCCAATTGGGCTTCATAGGAGTTCGTGTAACATGACACGAACAAAGCCACGTGATGGGTCACTTTTACCCAGGTCAGAATAGAAATTCCCTTAATTTTGATTGGCTAATTAGCAAATAAAACAGACTACATATAAAATGATCGACAAA